AGACAGGCTTCTAGACCAACCCTTATTAACATTTACAGAGGACCCAACAGCTACACCATGGAGCCAAAGCACTTGCGCGACGGGGGCAAGGAAAAACTGCCTTTTAACGGGCAGAAACCTCGGACAGACCCTTCGGCTCTAGGTGGGTGGTCATCTGCCTAGAGGTAGTGCTTAATGACTGAGAATGGACTGTACTTACATAGCTTCTAGTCTTCCAAACCAATCAAAGTACTTTTGAACTCCATGTCACATTTATTATGACACAGCATTGGGAGCTATTTGGGGTTCAGTATCTTGCTCAAGGACACTTTGACATGCAGTGGAAGGAGCTGGGGATAGACCTGCCAACTTTCTGCTTAGTGGATGACCCGCTCTACCTTCTGAGCCACAGCCACCCCCCGAAGATGAGACTACTTCAAAATTATATGTTTATGGTATTTTACTCATGGTATTAGGATAATATTACAGAGACTGTTTGATTTGCATATCAATATATCTTCTGGACAATTTTTTATTTTGCCGTCCATAGGTGAAGTGAAGGTAAGAGATGTTTTATGGTACGTGTCCACGGATGCGTTTTTGGACGCGAGGGGTCGCGCAGCTTCCCAGCACTGGACACTTGTCGGCCATACCTGACTGGACAAAAGAATGCTGCTCAAATGGAAAGCACAGAAATGACTCATCCTGTGGACACATACCATTAGTCAGCTGTCTGTCAAAGGTGGTGACTAGTCAGTTGTCAGCACAATATTACCAATATATTCACATCACCACATCCAACACAGATGGGTGATGCAGGACCGCCAGTGAAAACATGCCAATGTTGAGTGTGAGGGCTTATGTTTGTCATACACTCATCGTCTGTGTGGAGCTTCTGCTTCAGCTTCTCCATCTTCTTGTCGTCTCTCAGCAAAGTCTTGTCTCTTTTCAGGGTGCCAGTGGTCTCCTCCTTCTTCTCCTCACCAATGTCTCGCACCAGTGAGTACTCATCATAGTTTGTGATGCCTGACACACAAATACAATAAAGTTAGTTACTACAGTTACGTTCATTTCATATTGCTGTAAAAACAAATGCATGAACTTAATTTTTTTCATTAAGCAATGTCAATTTAGTGATGTACAGATTGACATCAAAGCAGAAATCAGTCAACATTATATCATCCCCACATATCAGAGTTGTCCAGGTGAAGTGTGAGCTGTGTGTGACAGAGCTGACCTATTCTTGCACAGATGGTCATGAGCATGTCACTGACAATCTTGGAGTCGTCTACCATGACGGTCTTCACTGTGCCATCCAGCATGCGGATCTTCAGAGGCCTCTGCTTCTTCTTGTACTCCAGAGTGTCCTATAGGACAGAGGAGACAGGTAGAGAGCTCTGTGTTACTATGTGCCTGACACTTCGTTCAGCCTTGATTATTTATGATACTGCCTGTACCCTCCATCTTGCCTCAACTCCAGTCAGATTCGAGTCACAAGTTTGTTGACTTGACAAAATTAAACCAATTAAAATAAAAGTGTACCCCTACAGACACTTTAAATCACACTGGGCACATTCTTTGTCATATCTGTAGCATTTAGCATTGTGTAGAGTGCGCAAGAGTGACTCACTCCATTCCTCAACATGTAGTAGTCCAGGGCCTTTCCTGCCTCCAGCCAGATGCCTTTCTTTGGGTCTTCATCAGACAGAAACAGCCCATAGTCATTGGCTGCAGAAGGAAACAGAAATACTGAGTGAGTCACAGCAAGTGTGCATGTACGCCAAGAAACACACATGTGGATATTCAGCCACTATGGAGATATTTTTGTCTCAAGTGCTTGTGCGGGATGTGACTTTTAAATATATGTGTACAAGCTTCCCTGTCCAGGTTAATCAGGTCAGTGGGTTACTGCGTGATCTGTTTCAATACATACATCTGCTCCAAATATATCAGGTTACACATTTCAAAGTGTGACCACTTTTCTCTTGAGTATAAGACAGGAGAACTAACTCTGCTGGAGAGTAGAAACAAGCTGTTGATTTATTCAGAGATACTGGCTTAAACTCTTTGTCTTGCAGAATGACTTACAGGTTGAAACAAGCAATGCAGAGAGCTGCTTATAATCATAAAGCATAACTCTGCATGCATGCCAGCTGATGTATCTGTGAAGCAGAGGGCTAGTCTCAGTTTATAGAAATGTTTTCAACCGCAGAACTTCTGCAGAGCCTGTAATCAACTAGACAAAGGTAGCAAGGCCACAATTCATCTGCTGTCAGACATTCTCCCCTCCATTCCACTCCATGGACCTGGGGTTGCTATACTGAAACTTCCACATGCTCACCACCTTTAGGAAATTATTGCATTTGACACTTCCTGGACAAGAAGACAATCTGTGAAGTGCTCCTGTATGAATACTGTATGTGTGCTGAGTAGTTCTGTAAAGCTCATACGGTCCTAGATCAGGTCTCATTATTATCAACAACAGCTCCCATCCTGCATTATCCTCTACTAGAGTACAGTTTGAAAGGTTTTCTACAAAGACAATGAGTAACGAGGGTGCCCAGTTAGCTCAGTGGGTAGAGCTGGCATCCCATGTACTGAGGCTGAGTCCTTGCTGCAGCGGCCCAGGGTTCGAGTCCGACCTGCGGCCCTTTGCTGCGTGTTATCTCCCCTCTCTCTGCCCCCCTTTCCTGTCTACCTTCGGCTGTCTCTATTGATTAAAGGCAATAAAAAGCCCCCAAAAAATATTTAAAAATTTTTTAAAAAAAGACAATGAGTTACGTCTTTGTAGAAAACTAAACTAAAACTAAAATTAGTTGATTATCAAAATAGTTGGCGTTTTATTAGTTGACAACTAATCGATTAATCGATTGGTGCCTTATAAACTCTTGTAGCACTATCTGTGTGTGTGTGTGTGGAGAGAAAGATAACTAAAGGTAGAGAGAAAGATAACTTACGCTGGCCAAGCTGTGCCTCAGGAACTCTTTCCCTTATGATACGGCAGGCATCGTACACCATGGTGGAGGGCTCAAACTGCATGGTCTTCACCACATTCCCCACGCCGATCTTTAGTGACAGGGCCACCATGATTGCTGCTCTGCACCTCCACCCAACTCTCACCTGCATGACAGCCAATAAAGCAGTTAGTCAAGATAAGTCATATTTCGTATTTGTACAGCCCAATATCACCAACAGTGTATCAACAACTTCAACAGTTCCGACCCAATTTAAACTCTCCAAAGACCAGGAAAAACATGCTCATGAAAGACATGAATCCATTTTTCAAACTCATACTGCCCATACCCATTCGCTGTGCCGGTGGCAGTTACAGTCACTCACGCTGAACAAGACGGGATGAACTGTTCACTCAATGCTTTAAAATTTATATTTTATCTTGATTAGTGTAAACGTATACACGACGACTGGAATGAATTTGAAGAGAAGTTTTGTGGGGTAGGCAGCACTAGCTGTGAAACATATTGGGAAATGCTGGCCCAGTATCTATGTTTAAAATAACAATTTAGCTTATGGTGCACGTGTCGGATTGGCTCTGTATCGGCCAGTCTAAAGCAGCCCTCCCTCTCTCTCAGTAGGACTATAAGTCTCTCCGAGTCACTAAGATAGAGGAATTGTTAGACTCATGATGTCTCTGTCAACTGTTCCCTAGTCACACTAAGAAGACAACCTCTCCTCCACTGATAGGTTGTGCTCACTCCATCTGTACTTAGTATTCTCCTCAGGCACTGTGGACCAGCAGTTGCCACAGTGTCTCTTTCCATTTTATTCTGGGATTTTGTTTGTTCTGTCCAATAATCTCTGTATTTTTATTTCATTATGATTTGTTTGGGTCTAACGTTCTGAGTGCTTGTATCCTGAAGCTGAGGGGGTCGTAGTGCTCAGCACCAGGATGCAGAGGGGACTCTTCTGTGGGTTTAGTTCCTTACAGCAGCTTTTGCAGGAGAAGGAGAGTGGGTCATTTGTTCATTTATTTCTTTTCTATTATTTTTCTCCTCTCTCAGACTCTCTCTAAGGGCCCGTAAAAATGCTTCTAATGACTGCTCGTGTATGTAGGTTGTAGTGAATGTAGGTTTTATTACTTCTGGACAGTCAAGCTAGCCATTTCCCTATTTTCCCAGTCTTTGTGCTAAGCTAAGCTAATTGGATGCTTTCGGTATCTAGCTTAGATTAGTGGGGTTTTTTAAATTTTCTATTAATGTCCCCGAAAATCTATTATCTTGGCCCTATGTTAACTGAAGTTCAGTAAAGGGAAGTGCATCACACCACTTCCACCTACTTGCAAACTCATCTTCACTAAGGGAACCTTATTTTTCTTACACTTCTCAGTATAGCATGTGAAGCAGAATTTAAAATGAGGAACATCAGTTATATTGAACAGACAAAAAAAAAACAGATGACTATGAGAAACCCAGTTCACAAAGAAAATGTTTATAGAATCAGCAAAAAACAGACTCCTGTAGTTGGTCAGTAAACAGATTCCCCTATAAGCCTCTATTCCATGTTGTAGCAGCAGTGTAGCAGTGTGTATAATTTAAGAGTACAGTAAATGTTGGCTGACCCCCAAACATCCATGATTTGTCAGAAGTGCCTATTTTGAAGCTTGTGTTTTCTGTCAAAGCATTATATGATTGTACACAGAGCAACACAGGACAACAACGCAGGAGGCTCTAACAAACTGTCTTAAAGGCCTAACTGGAGAAGGTGATGAAAATGGAGGGCAGGGCAGCATAACACATGCCTGTTTCCTCAGTCTGCTTGATGTGTACATATTATAAATATATAAAAGAGGAAAACCACTCCAAAGCTGATCCAGAGATACCCACCCACTGCCTCTCAACCAGAACACACAGTATTAAGTTCACTTAATTATTATTTAAGTCAATTATGTTCACAGTATTAAAAGCAGCACTGAGATCTGACACTACCAACAGAGAACTTTCTGTCATTGAAGACTCCGAGGAGAGCTGTTTCTGTTGCAACCAATGAAAACCAGACTGAAACTTGTCAAGAATGTTCTCATCTAAGGCAGCTGTAAGCTGTTTAGCACCTACTTTTTTCAAAGACCTTGACATAAAAAGATAACTTAGAAATGCGCCTGTAGTAACAACTTGTTTGAAATAACCTAGAACATGAGCAGAGTTATTGATCAAGGACCAATATAACCAATGACATTTTTTTTTACCAAGAAGTAGGTACAATATCAAGAAGTCCAATATTCACTCTCCTTTTAGATCTCCAACGTCAAAGAAAATTTCTGGCTCTTAACCCTGTAAATTCTCCACTGTGTTCACCAGCTCATCACCAGCTTTGTCTGTCTGCTGTTTGGTTGAGGGTTGTGAGCTCTGTAGAGTTGGATAACAACAATTCTCTATGGGTACGTCACTACGAACAACAAATTTACTCTTTTTAAGTTGCAATTATCGCAACACTTGAGTGAGGAAATGTATGGGGATGATGTATGGGTAACAGGGACACTTTGAATAGGAGAGAGTAAGCACGTTTCTTTATAAAGCTGTTTGGAGAGGGAGCATGAAAACAGCACAGCATGTGCTGGCATCAGAGCTCAGAGGGATTGAATGTCACAACACAGACGCCCTGACACCCACAGATTCATATCCTGCTGACACTCTATCACTATCAGTTCCTCCCTCTTTTTCTGGCTGCCTCCTTGATGACATGAGGATGTGGCTGGGGTGTGTAGCAAGGAGGGGATCAGATCTCAGATTACAGCTATCAACATGAATGCTGGGTACTGTAGTAACAGATAAAAATAAACTTAAAACTAAAATATTACGATGGAAAACTGCTTTTTCCTGTCAAATACTGATTGCATTCTACTGCCAAAAACAATTCTAAACACCATAATGATTAAAGATTAACTTGCTCTAAAATCATTACTAGCTCAGCAAAGTCAGAACAAGCTGAGCCACAATGAGGAGTGAGATTTCTGCTGAGATATCAATGACTATAGTTTATTAAAGGGGATATAGATGTTTTAAAACATGAATATAGCAGAAAACAGCTATTAACTATGAGAAGATATATTGGAGTCATGGTGTCACCCTCCCTCTGCCTGTGTTACTATCGTTTTTATCATCTACGTCTGTGAATTATGAATTATGAATGATTTATTTACCCCAAACCAGAGTTGGTGATTGTTGGGACAGTGGAAAGACTAAAGACTTTGTGAGTTTTATTTTGTTTCTATCCACTTTGAATGAAGTTATGATGTGAGATAAAATAACCACTTTCATCCATGGAGTCTGGTGCAAGCAAAAGTGATGTAATGGCTGTTTCTGGTTAAACAAAAAGTATATCTCTGAAGGGATAATTTCCTTAATGATATCAGACGTTTAGAATAACAATCTGAGCCTGTCAGTGGCAAAAACAACTTTTAGTGGATGCACTTTGCCAATTAACGTTAGCGTAACCCTTTTATAACATTGCTGTGAAATTTGTTTATTTGTAATATGTGACTCATTGTAGATCCTACATTGTTGAATCTCAGACCAACGGCTGATCATACTCACTTTGTTGTTGCTCACTTTCAATTAACTAATAAATAAGGAGAGTGAAGTAAATACCTGATGTAAACCAGAGTTTGAGTGATAGCCCTTCTGCCCAGTCCGATGATGAACTCTGAGTTTCTTCTCTCTGGCTGAAGAAAATGAAAGACAAGGACCAGGTTACAATCATTTTTATTCAGCCAACAGTTTTTACTCATATGACATACACCGATCAGCCATAACATTATGACGCCCAGGTACCCTGGTAGTCATAATGTTCTGCAGCCCCATACCAACAAACAGTGACGCACTGTGTGTTCTGACACCTTTCTATCAGAACCATCATTATGTGTTTCAGCAGTTTGAGCTACAGTAGCTTGTATGTTGGATCGGACCACACGGGCCCGCCTTCACTCCCCATGTGCATCAATAAACCTTGGCCACCCATTACCCTGTCTCCTGGTCACCGTTTTTCCTTCCTTGGACTACTTTCAGTAGATACTGACCACTGCCGACCAGGAAGAAGAAGAGCTGCAGGTTTGAAGATGCTCTGGACCAGTCGTCTAGCCATCACAATGTGGTCCAATGTGGCTCAAAAAAAAAAAGCTGCCCATTTTTCCTGCTTCTAACATATCTACTTTGAAGACAACATGTACACTTGCTGCCTAATATGTCCCACCCACTGCTCAGAATGTTATGGTAAATGGTAAATGGACCTGTACTTGTATAGCGCCTTGCTAGTCTGCCGACCACTCAAAGCGCTTTTACACTTACTACCGACATTCACCCTTTCACACCACATTCGACCACAGTGACTCACACAGCACCAGCATCGGGAGCAATTTGGGTTCAGTATCCTTGCTCAAGATACTTCAACATGTGGAGGGAGGAGCCGGGGATCAAACCAACAAGATTCTCCTTTGTCACTCAAAGCTCAAGCTACCATGCTACAAGGTGCCAACTAACTAATTCCATTCACACACTCGCCTCTGCTACAGGTTTATTGGCTGATTGTGTTTCTCTGCAGCAACATGTTTGAAGTTACGGCTTTTGGCTGCCACATGCACAGCTCTCAGGCTGCTGTCATTCAGCACAACATGCCGATACACATCAATGCTTCAAAGGGAGTGGGTGGGGGTATCTTCCTCTACTCTGGAATGACCGGGTTCTTGCGAGATCTCACTCAGAAGATGTCATTTCCTGTTTTAACAAGCCCTTCAATGCCATAAAAGGGCATTTCAGCCATCTGTATATTATGATTCATCTGGGAGAAGTGGATCCAGTGTACATATAGTGAATGGAAGGGCAGTTTGTTTGGCTTAAGGAAAGATAAGAGGGGACTCATCTAAAGCTCATTCAAGCATTTATGTCACTACTACAAAAACCTCAGCGTTCAAAAAGCTCATCTATTTTCAGTGGTTGTCTAACACATATTATTATAAGACATTTAGGAGAACATTCAGGAGCACAAAGCCAAAGTTACTTTGAGACAGAGATAATCCTGTTTCAAAACACAATGTCTGGAAAGTTCAGAAAAGGGACTGCGGTGGCTTCCCACTCCACCCTGACTGAAAGAAGAAGTGCTGAGTCACAACAGTAATTACTGCAGTTACTGAGAATCCACAGCAGCCAATCACAATCAGTTTGGCAGGAAAACATTTGTTTAACAAAATAATAAGCATGCACACTGTAAAAACACCAACTTATATTATTTGGCATAAAGAAGGCTTACAAGTAGTTAAGACTAAGAAATCAAAACTTGAAGTAAGCATTTTAGTTGTGGCAACAAACCTAGCCAGTATGGTCTTTTAATAAGAGTGTGTCCTTTTAATTTTCTTTAAAAAGTTTTTAGTTGTGAAACCATTTCAGAACATGCAATGCATGTATTGACTGTGCTGTTCGTCACTTAACTCATCAAAGCAAGTTGTTCAGGAACATTATTAGCTTTCTAGCACAACTCCCAGCATGCAGAAAGTTAACTTTAAGTTTTAATTAAACCTGAAACTGCTTCATTAATGAAAAATAAACAACTCTTGATGATATAACAAAACAGCATCAAATACATCATTAAAGACAGTAGACTTAACTTATGTCAGCCCAGTCTTCTACTATAAAGTGACAGCAGTCAACTGTCATCTTGAGGACAAACATCCTCTCTATCTCCAGCAGTCAGATACTGCACATCTCAGCCCCTATCTCATGTCCTTCAGGCCTGACCCGACTCTGTATTAAAGTGATGATGGAACTGTCCACCAACAACCAGAGGAACAATACAGCAGCTTATCTTATTATGCAAGAACAGCACATTTTACTTTCACAACTGCTCTCCAGGGATAATAAACGCAGTATGTGATACAGAACATCCCCTGTGTACGGTCTCTATAACAAACATCAGCCAATGACTGAAGCTGAAGTGACTGTATGTTAAAAACAACCTGTTCAGTTCATTGTAAAACTGTTACTGTGGATGTAGCGGAGTTATCAATACTCCACAGGTAAGATGCATATGTGAACAATCCATTGTCACCAATGGCAGCTGGTAGGTTTATACATCTGTTCTACCAAACCTCTGGGCAGGATAAACTGCAATAGTGATAATGATAAAATAATGAGACTTCATATCAGGAGGAAATCAACAATCTTGAATGCTGGACAGAAAACAACCTGCTCAACGGCAGCAAAACCAAAGCAGCTGATTGTTGATTACAGTTAAAAGGACACAAAGATACACACCCACTGTTTACATCAGTGGAGCTGAGGTGGAGCAGATCAACAGTTTTACATTGCTGGAAATCAGCATCACAGATCATCTCACATCTCCAGCCTGGTTAACAAAGTACAGAAATGACTGTATTTCTTAAAAAACTGAAGAAAGCTAAATTCCTGTGCCAGGTTCTTGTTAACTTTTACAGAAGAGCAATAGAAAGCAACCTGACTGGAAACATCACAAACTGGAATCATGGGATGTGCATGGACAGGAGGACTCTGGAGTGAGT